ACCTAGCAATGGTTTATTCCATAGTTGGGCCATAGTACGGGCCACAATGGCTACAGAAACCAATGGGGCACCCATGCCAGGACCTAGAGGCATAGAAATGGGAGTTAGAATCCTAGAGATTAGAAAGAGCGGGTGAAAACAGTAGACATGAGAGTACATGACGAAGAATGATGGTGGCATAGGCAAGGGGTAGGCTGTTTTAACTATATTCCAGGTATTCTTCTCCTTTGTTACCCTTCTCCCAGTCATACCTTTGGTGTAAGCAATGCAGTCGATATCCTGGTAGGTTACTCTAGCTTCTGTTAGTGCCTCCTGCAGAATGTCTAGGATAACAGCCCGGTGATGCCTGGCAGTATCACCTGGAAGGAACCCTAAGAAATGGACACAGATGAAAGATCATAGTTTTCCGGTAGAAGATAAGTAGAAGTAAAAAACAAAACTGGAGGTTTTAGTAATGAAGGAAGAATTGTTTCATTCTACCAAATTTTTAGATAGTCTTTTTCCAACTTCTATACAATCTATTCCTCTTTCAGAATTGCCCTTCTTTATATCCAATTTCTATTCAGCTTTTGGAATTCAATTAAAGTGATACCCATACTTTCTGGTGACCTTTTCTATGACCCTACATAAAATTACATTGCTGTAGATGACGCAGAAGAAATACAGCACTATAATTATGACGCAGAAGAAATACAGCACTATAATTATCTATAGTTTCCCCAGTTTAACCATAAGTATCTCAGAGCATTAGCCATTTTATTTATATTTCCAGTATCCAAGTACTTAGAAGAGTTAATGGCAAACATAAATACATATTTCTAAGTAATAACCTGTCACAACAGCACTTGTTTCTAGAGTTTTCAGGTACATGCAAGTCAACTGTCCTATCTATCTGTGCAGCTATTATAAGAGAGGCTAGGCAAGATGCAATATCTTATAAGTAATATTAATTACAAATTATAATGTGTCTGGTAGTTTCATGTAGTCCTCAAGGCCCAGAGATACAGGTGTTACTTTTCCCACTTTAAGAGCAGAATACTGAATATGAATCTTACATATTTATCCAGTTCTGACACCAAAACTAATAAGACTTTCTGCTCTCCTCTCCCCCCTTATTCTAGAAAATTCTGACACATCTGCAGAAGAATCTGTTTACATTACAAGTCCGACTCTACCCCAGGCTCATAACTCCTATTTTTGAATGTTCAGCTCATAAAAGACGCTGAATAAAATCTGAACGAACCAAGAAGATACAGACTCAAATGTCTAGGACTCTTCTAAGTCACCAGCCTTGTAACATTTGGCCACATAACAATCCCAACCAGACTCTTAGCTAATGCTGTTCAAGTTGACAACGCGCACCCACTTCACTCGTGTTTAGGAAGATGGAAGGCGATGCTGTGCAGAGAAGCCAGCCGCAACTAGAAGTACCCTAATGACTCACCTGTGCCTGGAGGTGTGACATAAGTTCGTCGCGGGTTCGCCAGCACGTTGCCATCGCGCACCACTCCCACACCAATCTTGTTGGCACTGCCTTCAAAACCCAGCACCGTCGGCATGGTAGAGCCAGAGAAAAAACGCCGGCAGGCTACTAGAMACGGTGGAGCTACGGAGGCCCTCACGCTTCGGTGCTGGGCAGTAGATTCCGCGGCACTGAGGATGAAGTGGCAGCCACAAGTAGAAAGCAAACGGCACACGGCCAAGCACAGAACTACGTCTAAGGGTGGCACCACCGCGCCGACCGCGCCGCAGCTGTTAAAGCCCCTTCAGGACCTGTCTTTTTAAATGCCAGGGGCGCGGGACGGGTCTCTGMGCCTAACATCCGTATCTGGTCCCCAACTTCTCTTCTGTGGTTCAGCCCAGCCYTCCCCATTGATTTCTTCCCTCTTTGCATAGCGTTAGGATCTTCGGTCTAGGTGGCAGGATGAGTCATAAATCTGGCAAAAAGATAAACAGCGCTAAAATGGAACCGTGGGGCCTTCAGTCCCCTGAGAAGAGCCAGAGAAGGGCGGGCACTTCTCTGTCACGTGGTTCCAAACAGACCAATCGCCCGCATGCGTGGATCACGTAACCACATCAGTCACCCACGTGGGCGCAAAGCGTGCTCCATTCTTTGTGTTCGGGTAAGGAGGTGCCACGCTCCGACCCAAGCAGGTCAGATTCAGGGTTGCTGTCCTACTAAATGACCGGCCAGCCCATTAGTGACTCATAATTAAGATCCTTACTTTGCCAGAGGGCAGGTTTTGCGAGGAGGTTACGACTCATTTTTAAATGACCTAATGTGGGTGAGGGGCTGAAGGACCTGTGATGCACTAAGGCTGGGAAAGAGTTCAGAGATAAGATAGTTTGAAAGGCGGGACCTGGTGTGTGGACGCCGTACGGAGGAGTCTTCATCCTAGTCTTACATGATTCCACAATTTTTTTGCGAATGTAGGCAACACGGTAAAAGTACTGTTTCGGTGGGCGACGTGGTACTGGTTCCGAAGGGCGTTCGTTACAGGGATGCCAAAGCGTGGGAAAAAGGGAGCGGCGGCAGAAGATGGGGAAGAGCCCAAAACTGGTAAGAAAAAGAAATAAAATAAACCCCTCTCCCTCCAAGCTGCGGTACAGTGTTTATGGTTTCCTCGATGAACCATAAATGGGAAGCTGAATCATACTTTTACAGGAATTGGCAGAGAAGRCAAGGCAACTATCGATTCTCAGTAGTCTATAGTAAACTATTGAGGTTGCAAATTGCCAATTTTATCATTATCTGTTATTCATTCTGTAGAGCCAGAGTCCAAGAAGAGTAAGGTAGGAGCAAAAAAAAAAGAAAAAGAGACAGCAGGAGAGGGCCCAGTCCTGTATGAAGACCCTCCAGATAAGAAAACCTCACCCAGTGGCAAATCTGCCACACTCAAGATCTGCTCTTGGAATGTTGATGGGCTTCGAGCCTGGATTAAGAAGAAAGGTTTAGATGTAAGTGGAATTCAGGGAGGGGAAGACATATTCCATAATCTTGAATGGTCTTGCAATTTAATCACTTTGTCTCGTTGTTTAAACACCAGGATGTTATTTTTCTCTTGCCTAGAGTTGATTTTTAGGGGGAGRCAGGGGGTACTGGGAAATCCATGGGTGCTTTACCACGGAGCTACATCTCCGTTCCTTTTTTTTTTTTTTTTTTTTGAGATAGGGTTCTGCTAATTTGCTGAAGGTCTCATTGAATGTTAAGGGTGGCCTCAAACTTGATATTCTCCTGCCTCATCCTCTGGAATTGCTGAAATTACAAGTTGTGTGCCACCATATGTGGCACTTGTCTGTAGTTTTCTTGTGGGAAGTACAACTGGGGGCTTCATCAAGTCTTGCTTAAATGTCCATTCCATCAATTCCATTGCCATTTCTTGTTTCATGTCCTTTCCTCTTCCCTAGAATGTTGTAAAAACCTCTATACTGGACTTCCTCTGTTTTATATCCAGCATATTCTCCATCCTAGTAACTGCTGCTTCAAAATCTTAGCTGACTATGCACTGCATATACCAAAAAAAAAAAAAAAAGTCCTTAGTACAATGTGTAAAATATTATTATCCCCCACCATTAGYGATTAGTGGTCAAGTTGTGTAATTTGTAATTGTTTAAACGTTATGCTTCTTGACTGTTAGAACTCCTTATGCATAGGGACTGTGTCTGAGCTGTGTATAGATCAGTAATTTCACTCATAAATTGTTCAATAAATGTCTCTGGAGGGTTTGGAATGTGTTTTAGGTGTAGAATGCTTGTCTATGAGGTCCTGGGTTCAGTCCCAAGTACTGCAAAATAAATGTTTGCTGAATTGACAATGTTTTTTCCACCTTTTTCTTTTTTAAACTTCCAGTGGGTAAAGGAAGAAGCCCCAGATATCCTGTGCCTCCAAGAGACCAAATGTTCAGAGAATAAACTACCACCTGAACTTCAAGAGCTGCCTGGATTATCCCATCAGTACTGGGCAGCTCCTTCGGACAAGGAAGGATACAGTGGTGTGGGTCTACTTTCCCGCCAGTGCCCCATCAAAGTCTCTTATGGCATCGGTGAGACCCTATTGATTCCTAATGCCTGTGATGCTTCAACCAATTGTTAGTACTTCTTTCTTTCCGCAGAGTCTTATTACCTTCTCTTATAGGCTTTTCATGCTGATTGTTTTCATTTTTATAGGTGAGGAGGAACATGATCAGGAAGGCCGGGTAATTGTGGCTGAATTTGACAAGTTTGTGCTGGTAACAGCCTATGTACCTAATGCTGGCCGGGGTCTGGTAAGGCTGGAGTACCGCCAGCGCTGGGATGAAGCCTTTCGCCAATTCCTGAAGGGCTTGGCTTCCCRCAAGCCCCTTGTGCTATGTGGGGACCTCAATGTGGCTCATGAAGAAATTGACCTTCGTAACCCCAAAGGAAACAAAAAAAATGCTGGCTTCACTCCACAGGAGCGCCAAGGCTTTGGAGAATTGCTGCAGGCTGTGCCACTGGCTGACAGTTTCCGGCACTTGTACCCCAACACTGAATATGCCTATACCTTTTGGACTTACATGATGAATGCTCGGTCCAAGAACGTTGGTTGGCGCCTTGATTACTTTTTGTTGTCCCACTCTCTTTTACCTGCATTGTGTGACAGCAAGATTCGCTCCAAGGCCCTTGGCAGTGATCACTGTCCCATCACCCTATACCTAGCACTGTGATACCCTCTTAGAATCATTTTGAGTCTTGGAAATAGCTTCCCCCACGTGGCCTCAATGTTCCTTCTTTAGTAGCTTGCTAGAGAAATCTGCATTTTATTTCTCTTCTGTAAGAATGAATCCTTAAATGAAGCTATTGTTACTAAGGTTTCTTTTAAGCCCAAGTTTTTTGTTGTGTGCACACATGCCCCAGTTTTTTTTTTTAAGACTTATCTGTAAAAATAAAAGGTCATAGTTTTGTCTTTGCTGTGTTTTGTGTTTTACCCTTTGTGGGGCTGTAGAATCCCTTCCTCATCTTTTTATACATACAAGTTAACAAAGGTTAGAGTCATGACCTTATTTATTTACAAGCACAGGATGAGTCCCTAACCTCCCCCAAGAGCAACCCTACCCAGCCCAGTTAAACACTGCAACTGGGGAGGCAAGGAAGGTTGGAAGGAGGAATTTCGGGAAATAACAGGACTGGGGGAACATACCCCACATTAAATAGTTATATACACATCAGTTCCTGTGGTTCTGTACAGAGCAGCGGCTGACCCCACCCCCACAGGACASGGAATGTGGGGAGGGAGACTTGAGGGTACTGAGGCCAGAGCCAGCCCTGGTGAAGTGCAATAGCAGCAGCAAAGTCCTAATGGTGCACAAGAGGGAGGGGAACCCCCCAGGGCTACCCACCCCCACCCTGCCCTGGAATGTGTAAGGGACAGGAATGGCTCTCAGGGAGYGCATAGGAAGGACAAGGCTAGACCCATCTTCTGGACCCAGGATTAGGGGCAATATTTTGCCTACTTCACCCTATACACAGCAACCCTTGGAGGAAAGCAGATGGCCAGCAGTGGTCTTATCCACCCCTCCAAACCTAAGTGAGGGCCTGGTTCCTTCCTACCTCTCCCCAGGGAAAAGGAAGGCAGCTGCTTGGCTTCCTTACTTGAAGCCCAGGGAACCTTTTACCCCAGCTCCCTTTGTAGTGTCACTGTCCCCACCAGGGAGGGGCCAGACACAGTCTGTGGATCATCAAGGGGCTCAGGAGAAGTTCTGGACAGGGTGGCTGACCTTCATACAGGCCCAATACAGGGCCCGGCCCAAACACAGCACAGCCAACAAGATGACAAAAGCCCAGGCTGCATAGATACCTCCATATCTCCGTGCGTGCTTCCATGTACCAAACTGATGAAGAGGAGGAAAAAGAAAGATGAGGTTGCTGTTGAGGCCCTGCCACTTCCTAAAAGCCCTGGGAACAGTAAGAATTCAAGCTTTATGTGCAACTACCTTTAGGGACCTTCCTCCAAAAGGCTAGGTTGTTTAACTCCCATCCCCTAGGCAGGAAAATACTCATAATCATCCCAGCCATCTGTTAGTACTTCTTGTGTATAACAATGAAGATAGGCTTCCAAATAGTAACTCAAAACTCCCTCTCCATTGTCCTAACTCCTACACAGAAGACAGCTACTTTTCACTTAAGACTTATCAGTTACCTTCAACTTTGGCTCACTTATACCTTAAAACAACCTCCCTTGCCCCCAGTTTCTTTCATCTTTTTCTAGGATACCAATTTCCCAAAGCTTAGCCCATGATGAGACTGAAGAATGAAAAGGATTGGGTCAAGGTTACTCACAGCAAGGCCAGTGGCAGTGACTGCCAAGAGCAAGCCAAGCAAAAAGCAGCAGATACATCTTTTTCTCGGATATCTGCGCCCAATAGAAGATCTGCAGGGAGGCAAACGAATAGATACAATAGCCTTGTTGTTTTAACTCTATACATCACCCAATTACAAGCTCAATCACTAATCACTTACACTTTCCTGCAGTGAGGACAACGTGCCAAGGTTCGATCAGTGAACTCTGTCCACTATGGAGAAAGAAAAATTAATTATAGAAAATTAATTATAGAAAATTAATTATAGAAAGAAACTTGAGGCAGAAGGAGGCTGGAAAATGGTGTCCCCACAGGACATACCTTTTCAGGATTCATAGTCATTACTCAAGCTTTTCCCCCCAGGCCTTCCCAATATCATTCCTTACCAGAAATGTATTCTTGCAATGTCCACAGATGACTCTGACACCCATTGGCTGTGGATCTGGACTTGAAGGTCCTGGATGAACAGGCCCCAAGTTGATGATTCTTTTGCTTTATGGGAGAAAAAAAAAGACTGTGATTAAAGATTTTAATCCTAAGAATCCCCACACTGTTCCTCCTTTGCATTTCCCRGTCTCTATCAAGTTCTACTTCTCTGTACAAATCCTTCAACCCTTCCCCAGAGAATCCTGAGGAATAGCACTACTTAMACTTTAGGTCTCTAATGCCCTTTTAACCTCAAAAAAATTCACCCAGCCCCCAACACTCCATTCTCCTAAAGAACTCCATTTCCTTTTTTTTTTTTTTAGTTGCAGATGGACACAATACCTTTTTCCCCCGTATTTATTTATTTTATGTGGTGCTGAGGATGGAACCCAATGCCACACATGTGCTAGGCAAGCACTCGACCACTGAGCTACAACTCCAGCTGCCAAGAACACCACTTCATCTCAAATCTTTTTATTGAAAAAAGAGGAAGCTGGCTATAATATTCCTTTGGYACAATGCTCTATAGCCTTTTCTCCTTCTAAACAAACATGAAGCTCTCTCACTTCTCTGTTCTTATAAACATTCATCCTTTTTTGGMTTTCCAATGTTACATATTTATGCCCTTTCCTTCCTTGTGCCTCTTACCAGTAGGGACGTGGGCAGGCAATCCGCTGGGAAGTCACTTTGCAGATAAGGAGACAGTTACAGGGGCATCGAACATATTTTTTCCCTGGGGGTGCATTCTTGATAGGCTAGAGAATAACGGGAACATCAGCAAGCAACCCAATCCCTTCCATTTCTCTCCAAAAACACTTTTTGATAAGAGATCAGACTGATAAGGTTCTACCCAGGAAAGAGACACACATATCATGACATTTGCAAATAAGTACCACACTTAAGTATTCAGGATAAGTGTGAGGATGAAGTACAGTGAACATTAGGTTTGGTGAGTGGCTTCTGGGGAAATTGCTAAGTGATACTCGCGGAACTGAAACTAGGTTTTAYGAAGATCCCTTGGCCAAAAAAACTGAGATCAGAAAAAGGATCCAGAAAGCAGGGCCCATTTTATAGATTTGTATAACTCACGGTGGCTTCATTGCAGACACCACATTTGACTACATGCTGATGCATCTTGCCTTCCACGTTGATGAGAGACTGGCAGACTCGGCAGGTGATCATGGGGGCACTCCCACTGTCCGGGCTGGTCAGGGGTGAGTAGGGGGGCGGATCCTCCCCAGGCAACACGGCTGGATGCCCCTCAGGAAACGGGGGAAATGCTGAAGAGGAACCAGATAAAAAGAGGTGCTGGGTTTGCTTGCAGACATGCCCCACTGATGCTCCACGGGGACAGGGAACTTTTTCTGATCTTCAACTCTTGTGACCAAACTCGGAGGACTCCTCATAATCGCCGCTTCCATCGTCTTCCTCAAAACCCAAKTCCGTTCCCAGACTCTGTCGAGATTGCAGAGGAAAGGAAGCCTCGCCCCGTTACAGGTGCAACAGTCCCGCACCTGGCGCTTGGGACCCGCCTCTGCCCTCGGCCCCGCCCCTCCGAGTACCCTGGGGAACACCTCGGACCCGCCCCGGCTTACCCTGGGGCGGGGCATGTTTACCGGCTCCATACGGAGGTGCGGAGGGGGTCAGGCCTCCCCCGGGCCCAGCACCACTTCCGCCCGGCCCCACTAAACCGTTGCCCCCGGCACCGCCATCAATGGGCTCGGACAGCAGTGGGGAACGCTCTCCATCTGCCGCCATGGCCGCCACCGCCGCCTCCTGCCTGGATCAGTGATCCAGCTCCCTTCGTCGCCGCCGCCGCCGCTGCTACCGGGTCCCCAGGGCGCCTGCGCGCCGCGCGCCCAGCTCACCCTGCAGCCAGTGGCGTGTCCCGCCCCGGTCTGTCCCGCAGCACGTGATAGGCTGTCCCCGCCCCCGCCATGCTATCATTCGTGGAGGTAAACCAATTCCCGGTCAGTGAAAGCAGCTCTCCTTTTCCACTGGGGAGAGTCGTGCCAACGTCACTGTCACATGACTTGCCGGGAGCGGCTGAGTTTGCAAAAATTGCACGTGACTGGAGGTTCTGCCAGCCATTGGAAGCGTGGCCCATCGCGCTACCTCCAGACCAGGAGGTGGGGCAGGGTTGCTTCTGTTCACTGGTCACGTGTTTCAGGAAACGACCCACCCTCCGTTACGCGCCCCGTCTGCTTCTCATTGGTGCAAAGACTCCACCAAAGACTTTTCTTCACATTATAATTAGCCTCTCATTGGCTGGTGGTTTCCTTTCCCTTGTCTTGTGATCCTTGAGGCACAACTTTAYTGGCCCAAACTTAGCGCCAGAACATTTGAGGCGTGGCTTAAGCATTTTAAGAGGAGGAGCAGTAAAAGTGCCAGGAAGCTTGGTTTTTTTCTGACCAGCGGGTAGAAGAGGGGTAGATACTGGAGACAAAATTAACCTAAAATTAACCTCTGCTCAAACAAACAACAACAACAAAGCCTTTTTAAAAAACAAGGAAAAAGTCAGGTGCAGTGGCCGAGGACTGTAATCCCAGCTACTGCAGAAGCTGATGCAGGAGGATYGCAAAYTAAAGGTCAGCCTGGACAATTTAGCAAGACCCTGTCTCAAAATAAAAAGAACTAGGGGTGTAGCTCAGTAATAAAGTGCTCACCTAGCACAYGAGAGCTCAATCTGCAGTACCTGGCCCCCCRAAAAAACAAGAAGAAAAAGAAAAGGGGTCAGGGTAACAATACAKTAAGAAAATAATTTTAAAATTAARGGTCATCACGCAGTCCTTTSTTGCTGGAGTCACTTCTAGGACAAAACAGGAAACTGGATTCTTCAGGAAGCTGTCCTGCAGGATCTACCAACTCCTCTCCCTAATGGAATTATGAGGTGGGGAACTGGTTATGTAGTTCAGTGGTAGAGCAATTGTGTAGAATGTGCCAAGGCCCTGCGTTCGATTCCTAGCACTGGGAAAAACAAAGACAGATCATCTTTTTATGAGTGCTTCTATACTGAAATAAGAGCTCATCATTTTGCTCAATTTTTTTTTTTTTTTTATTTTGTGGTGCCAGGAATTGAACCCAGGAGCACTTTACTGCTGAGCTACATCTCCAGCCCTTTTTATTTTTATTTTGAGACAGAGTCTTGAACTTATTATCCTCCTGCCTCAGTCTCCTGAATTGCTGGGATTGAAATTCCATTGAAAATCCACTACCATTCCTGGCCGTTTTTCTCAGTTTTATGACCAGCAGTCCTTGGGCATGTGCATAATTRAGCAGTGGGTGGAAGAGTGGTAAATACCAGAAACAAAATTAACCACTGCTCAAACAAAGAACAACAAAAACCCTTTAAAATACCAAGGTAGTAGTCGGGTGCAGTGGCCGAGGACTGTAATCCCAGCTACTGCAGAGGCTGATGCAGGAGGATCGAAAATTAGATAGAGGCCAGCCTGGGCAATTTAGCGAGAYCCTGTCTCAAAATAAAAAGAACTAGGGGTGTAGCTCAGTAATAAAGTGCTCACCTAGCATGCGGGAGCTCAATCCGCAGTACCCGGAAAACAACGAAAAGAAAGAAAGAAAAGAGGTAAAATTGTTGATTGTATTAACAAATCAAATACAAGGATATTTTAGTCACCRTATTAGGCAGGCGTGACAGTCTTTAAACTTGTCTTAACTTTGCCCTTAGCTACGGGATTGCTAATGGAGGTTATTTTAATAAGTGTTGAAGATGACCTTGAACTTCAGACATTTGAACATACCTACATATCTACCCTCTCCTGTTCATTCAAATTCAGCTCAACTTTCTCAGTAGAGAAGTTAAGACCACTCCTTATTCGACCTATTAAGCTGCTTACTAAATGTACAGGGTTCCCCAACAGAGATTAATTTTAGTGTTTTCCCCTAAACTGAAGGAAACTTGATTTCTTTGTGTCACAGCTTTGATGTTTGAGGGTACAGTGGGGACTAGTGTCAAGGTGAACAAATATTTGTTCTGAGAATGATTAGGGAAGTCTTTCTTAATTATGTAAATGTAGGATGAGTAAATTATTATTTGGGGATTAATGGTGGATAATAGGGTAAATTTTAAAGTTAAAGATCATCACGCAGTCCTTTCTTRCTGGAGTCACTTCTAGGACAAAACATGAGACTGGATTCTTCAGGAAGCTGTCCTGCAGGATCTACCAACTCCTAAGTGAATCACTACCAAAGTGAATCASCAAGAGATCTTTGTTTTTTAGTTACAGAAGTTATCTCTCTCAGTTAACCAAAAACAGTAATGGGAAGGGCCATAGTTATGAAAAGAGAGTACTGAGAGGTCAAAGGAAGATATTTTAGTTCTTGGGAAATGGCTGATTGATAAAAAGGGCAATATTAGTCAGGTGGGGGAGGGRGGGTTCCATGCCTATAATCCCAGTGGCTGAGGAGGCTGAAGCTGTAGGATCTGGAGTCCAAAGTCAGCCTTAGCAAAATTGAGATGCTAAGCAACTCAGTGAGACCCCTGTCTCCAAATAAAATTCAAAATAAGACTGGCAATGTGGCTCAGAAGCYAAGTGCCCCTGAGTTCAATCCCTAGTACCTCCCTCAAAAAAGGGCAATATTTTTTAATTCTATTAGATGGAAGRTCTCTAAGAGAATATTTAATAATAAAGGGACTGCTTTCCCAGCACTTAGGGGCTAGATACTACAAGGGCTAGACACTTCATCTAGGTTCTGCTATTTAAATACAGTTTTTTTTTTTTTTCATGCCACTTTACACAGAAGCTAGTATTCTTCCACCAGTTAGGTCCCCAGTAAAAGCCACACTGTAATCCCAGTGGCCGGAAAGGCTGAGGCAGGAGGATCTGGAGTCCACTGCTCAATCCAACACACACTTAAATAAGATGCAAAATGGAGAGGGATTGTAGCTTTGCAGGGGGGACAGGACAGTCTGCTGCTCTTTCTTCTATTTTTGGCACACAGATTCTCAAGCATTCACTCTGGGTTTGGAGTAGGTTTTATTATTTGCACCCTAGTTRATATACAATCCCAAAACATGGTTTTTGTGATTCCCCCATCCTCACCAAAGTTATATTTCATGTTAATTTAAATCTGGTTCTGCAACATGTAGTGGCACCTATTTGTAATCCTAACAGCTCTGAGGCTGAGGCAGGAGGATTACAAATTCAAATATAGCCTCAACAATTTAGTGAGACCCTAAGCAACTTAGTGAGACCCTGTCCCAAAATAAAAAATAAAAAGTTCTGGGGATGTAACTCAGTGGTTAAGCACCCCTGGGGTCAATCCCTGGCATTAAAAAAAAATGTGGACAGTGCGCAGGGGGTGTAGCTCAGTGGTAGAGTGCTTACACAGCATATGCATGCCCCTGTATTCCATCCCCAGCGCTGGAAAAAGAAAAAAAAGAAGAAGAAGAAGAAAAGAAAGAAGAGAGCATTGGATACCACATAAAGGATATTTATTTACTTATTTTTTGTTGTTTAGGCGCTGAAGGGAAGGTATGATGGAACAATGCTTGAATACACCATGTTTTAGATCACTTTTAATCCTAGACTAACCTCTGCCCATACAGGTGTTGGGTAAGGRAAAGTACAGTGGCTCTCTAAGTGCTCTTATGATGAAACTATCTTATAATAAATCCCTCTAGGTCTTCAGTTCCAAAACTCCCTAAGTTGCTGTTATGTATTCTATGAATGGACGAATCACCTATAATCCACAGTTCTAGGCAGAGCCCTTTAGATGAATCTAAATTTAGTGTTACCCTCACACATTATAGTCTGGTAGTGGTTAGAAGATRCATGCCCAGAAAACAAGGTAATCTGTGTGAAAAGAGCCATAAAAGAGGAAGAAGAAAATGTTTACAGCTTAGAGGAATACCTCTTCTGGTTCTTGGTTATCTACTACTATGTGATGAACATAGTGATGTATTTTTTTTCTTATGACTCTGTGATGTTGACTGAGTGGTTCTTTTATTAATCTCACTTGAACTCATTTACACACATGCAACCAGAAGGTGATCAAATACAACTCAATGGCCCAAGATGGCCTCACATATATGGTATTTGTATGTGCATATACAAATATGCTGGCTTCTTTATAGCAAGGTGACAGACCAAGAGGAATAAAGGAGAGGCTGCTGTCATCTTAGGCATAGGCTTCAGCACTGTCACAACCACATTCTAGGCTAGGGATCATCGCAAATCATAAGGCCTGATTATATATAATATACTCGATGTATGATATGTCAAAATACAATCAACTGTCATGTATAATTTATATAATATATATTCAAGGTGTGGGATTTTGAATATAAGGAGTCACAAAATATTATAGCTTTCTTTCTTTTTTCCTTCTCCTTTCTTCCCTCTCTTTCTTCCTTCCATTTTTTCCTTGCAGCATTGGGAATAGCTCCTCTGTCATTGTGCATGCTACACAAGAACTCAAAGCTATACTCCCCCAGTCTCAGGGGCCATGTTATCAATCTACCACAACTGAGAAGAATCTTAGCAATCAAGTCAAATACAAATATTTGTTAAATATCTACTATTTGTGAAAGACACTCCTTGAGAAACTCACACTCAGGATACAGAGAGATAATAATATAAATGTTGACAGTATAAAATGTCAACACTGATATCTCTTATTACATTAAAAAGAATTGATGCTAGAAACTCATCATACAGTACATGCTKCATAACAAATCAATTAAACAATGTAATTCAAATTCAAGGAATTAAGAGATCACTTCTATCTAGTCAGATTAGTCAGGGAAAACTTTAAAAATATAAAAATTATTATATTATTATGCAGGAATAATTTTTTAGTTCTGTCTTGAGTAGGCCAATAGGCAGAGAAATACAAAAAGCAATGATATTTATAATTTGCTCATAGTTAACTCTTTTATATCTGTATTAATTTGATTTCAGAACCCTTTGTGAAATGAACAGGAAAGCTAAGACTTTCTTCATTTTACAGATGTGTAAACCAAGACTCTCTAATCTAGTCAGTTAAACTAA